CCCGCCAGGCCGCGCCAGCCACTTGAGAATGCAATTGGGGCTTCGACAGTGACGGATCCGCGAGGGGCCGCGGGGGGCCGCGGGACGTGCCGCGAGGACGAGGAGAACGGCATTATCTCGGACGAAACAAAATCAGCTCGCTCGCACCGACACCGCCAAACACCACTACCAACGTGGAGAAGGTCGCCTCGCCGCACGGCCTGCGTACACAATGGCAAACTTGGCCGCCCCCGCCCCGGCCCTCTGCGTGCCCGCCCCGCCGCCGAGGTGAAGTCGCGCTTTCACCTCAGCGCGACCTCGGCCTCGACCTTCAGGGCCTTCTGGGCCTCGAGAGCTGCAGGGCCTGGGGCAGCGCGTCGTGGGAAAAGGGCACCGGTGGCGTCGTGCCGCGAGTCGCGGTGGAGAGGTGACATCTGTGCAAAAAACGCGCCCCTTTGGCGGCAAAGGCGTCTCACCTCAGCAAAGACACCAACCAAAACACACTCACAGTGTAACAGTGTGGTGCCGACACCACCAAACCAGCGCCACTTTTTCCCGCCACTTTTGGACGAGTGCGCCCAATTTTCCGCGCCTCGTTTGGCAACAGCAAACAACCCCCTTTTTTGCCACCGCCGCCTACACACGCGCGCACACACGCACGGCCTCACACACACATGTCAATGTCACGCTGTCACTAATCGATCAAACGTCGCGCTCCTTTTCATCACGAGGCGGGGCGTGGCGGGGCGTGGCGGGGCCGAGATGTAACGTGTTCGCTGGCGATAGCGGGGCGTGGCGGGGCGCTGTGTGTGCTGTTCGTATCGCCGCCTCCAGCAGCGCTCCGGCAGCCTCCAGCCGCCGCGCTCCAGCTCCAGGCCCTCCTTGGGGGATTAGCGGTCGTCCGTCCTTATCGCCTATCAATCAGCTTGCTGCACATGTGCCCCACCGGCACGCCCGGGCGCGGCCGGCACGGCCCACCGACTTCCCCCGGGACGATGACGGGGCGCGGCGCGTTGATTACCGCCGTCGTCGCCACGCCCCGGTCCCGGTCGGGTCCGCGCCGCGGCCGCCCCGCCGACGCCACTCGAAGCCGTTGCTCAGACGACGTCCGCTTTCTGAAGAAGAAGCCCCCCAACTCTCTGGAACTCATCTCAGTCGCGTCCCCGCCCGGCTGGAAAGCCTGGAACGCCTGGAAGAACGCCTGCAAAGCCGGCGAAGGGAGGCGGGGCGGGGCGGGGCGGGGCGGCCCACGTGACCTTTCCCGGCCAGCCCCGCCGGCCTGGCTGGCTTCCTGATTGAATATGAAAATCTCGAGGACGGCGGCGGAGGAGGAGCAGAGCTGGGGAAGGGCGGATAGCGACCTGCTGTCCGAAGGGCCAGAAGGTGAACCGGCGGTACGGGGGGGGGGGGGGGGGCTTTGCGACACGGACCAGACGCAGCGCCGCGCAGCGCGACGTCACGGCTAATTGGACCAACCCCCCAGGGACCGCGCCGTGCCGCGCCGTGCCGCCCCGTACTAAGGGGGCACCACTTCAACTGTATCACGGCCCTCAATATTTCACCGCCCTGCCCCCTGCTGCCCCCCGCCCCCTCCTCAGCACACCTCCGGCGTGCAGACCTGCATTATTTGTGCCCCGCGGACCGGCCATCAGTCAGCGAAGCAAAACAACAGCGGCACTCACGTCATTCCCAGAGACGCCCGGCGCGCCCAGCCTCCTTGCTGTAGCGGCGGCAGCGCGGTAGAACAGGACAGAGGAACGGCACTCACAGTCGATTCGCCAAGAGGACTTGTCCCGGTCGCGCCCTAGCCATGCAACTTGCTTTTGACGAACGACGGCCGAGGCGCGGCGCGGCCGGGGGCGGGCGGACGCGCGGCGAGCGCGGCCACAGAGGAACATCTCGCTCGTTCCGTTGATTAATTGCCTGAAGTGAGCGGCCGCCGAGGCGCGGCGCGGTCGCGGCAGCGACAGGCCCGCCGCGCCATACACCCGGCGCGCATTCCTCATTGAAAACACATCTCGGGGCGCGGCGCTTCGGCGTATTGGAGACGTATGAGGGGCGTCAGCGGCGGGGCTGCGCGCACCGCGGCGAGCGGGAGCCGAGCCCCGCGCCCGCAGCCCGCCATGCCGCCGCGCGAGGAACGTCGCCGATTTCGAAGATCGCCCGCTCGCACGTGCGGGGCCGGGCGGGGCGAGGCGAGGGGCGGGGCCGGCCGCGGCAGTGGCCACGCGCGCCAGTCGTGCGGGATTCACATGCCGAGGGCTGGAGAGGGCGAGAGGGTCGGCGAGGGGCGGGCGAGGCGGCGGCAGGGCGAAGGCCCGCCGCGCTATAATCGACACACGCGCCGCGTTGCATTCCTAGCGATTGAAAGTCGCACATTTTCGGGCCGCCAAGGCAGTTCGGCGTATTGGAGACGTATCAGGAATGCGTCACGGCGTGGTGCGAGCAGCGGCGGAGCGGCGAGGACAGGTAGGGACCGCAGAATTCCGTCTAAATCGCACAGGTGCCTACCGTCCTTGTTTCCGGAATACGCTGCAGACCGATTCCGAGAGTCGCCTCTCTCGCACCTACGAGGGACGCCACACGAGTGCGAGAGAGACGGCTCTCGGAATCCGTCGGCAGTGTGCCACCCCCGCAGCCGGGGGTCAAAGAGGGACACGTCAAAGAGACAGACTCGTCCGCCGCAAACCACGCAGGTCGGCCACCGTCCCTTGTCCTCCAGGGCAAAGACCCCCCGGGGCACACGCAGAAAAAGGCACGCCAAAGTGTCCCGCAAGGCCTGCGAGGCCTGCAAGGCCTGCAAGGTAGGCAATTGTCATAATTTACCCTTTTTCAGAGAGCTTGCTGGATCCGCCCCTCGCCCGCATGCAACGAGCCTGGCGGCCTGGCGGCCTGGCCCTCCACCCCGGCGCGGCTAGCGCGGCCTGGCGCCCCGGCCTTGCAACTATGTAGATGGCGCTGGCCTGCAGCTGCTCTAGCCCCCCCCCCCCCTCTCCCCGGACTCCGCTTCTTGCCGCCGAGGGGAATGCGGGGGAAGCATCGAGCATTTACTGCCCCGGGACACGCGAGACTCGAGCCAGCCAGCCCCTGCTTTGTTTTTGTGCGCGTTTTTGTGAAACGCGCGGCCCTTCTTGGCCGCGACTCGGCTCAACCTCCCTCCGCGGAGGACAGCTTGGACTGCGAGTAGGCAACCCGCCGTACAGTGGGCCAGAAGACCGGTGGAGGCGGCCAAAACTCAAGACGCGTTTTGAGCTCCAGAGTCGCTAAATGGGACTCGAACCGAACGTGTGACCCGACCAATGCGTTGCTCTCCGAACGAGGAATCCATTGGTGGGGTCACACGTTTGATTCGAGTCATTTTTAGCGACTCTGGAGCTCAAAACGCGTTTAGAGTTTTGGCCGCCTCCACCGGTCTTCTGGCCCACTGTGCACCGTGAGGGTGTTTCCGCTGTGCGAGGAGGGCGCTCTTTTAATCCAGAGAGGACTCCCTCCGGCCTTCTGCGGGTTCCGCTTCGCTTGCTCCGCTCCAGCCGCTCCAGCCGTGGCTGCTGGACGCGCTGCTGGAGCCTTGAGCCTGCAGCCCGCACGCCCGGCAATACCCGGTACGGTGGTACAGTCAGCACGGCGAAGCGGCGCCGGTACAGTCGGAACACGCACCGAGTGTACGCGGCATAATGAGCCCGCTATTTGCGTTTCTGGCTGAGCGCGCGGCACTGCAGGGCACTGTCTGGACCGGCGGGGCGGGGCGCGAAGGGGCACCCCGGTGTGTAACCCTTTCATGTATGGGGGAGGCGGGCCGGGCCGGCCGGGGGAGCGGAGGCCTTTTCAACGACGGGCGTGGCGGCGTGGCGTCGGCGGCGGCATTTTGGCCAAATCACAAAGGAAAGTTTCATTACAATTTTGCCGCCTTGCTTTACTCAATTCCCGTGCAATTTCGGCCCCGAGTGCGTGTCGGCGTGTCGCAGGCAAGACTCCCCGGCCGCCCCTCGGCCGAGCCCTTCGGCGCCACGCCTCGGCCACGCCCCCGTGTGTACAGTGTACAGCACCCCTTTCCACTTCGCTCCAAATCACCAACCAAATTAGCATCGGGTTCAAACCTCGTGCGTCCTGGACGGCTACACTGTCAGACGGGGTGTTCGGCGTGCTCCAGGACCGCGGCGGCGACCTGTTGGGGGGCTTCTGCTTCTTTGTCGCCGACAAAGCGAGTCGCCACGAGGAAGGACGGCTCAGCAAATCCTCTCGGGACCAAATTGGGCTAATTCGCGGTGAGACGAGACACGGTGCAGTGTGGAAATAGACGGAGGGGGGCTCGATACAATAGGGGAGGGAGGGGGAGGGGAGAACAGAGAGAGAGAGAGAGAGAGAGAGAGAGAGAGAGAGAGAGAGGAGAGAGAGAGAGAGAGAGAGAGAGAGAGAGAGAGAGAGAGAGAGAGAGAGCTTATCATGTGAGAGGCGCGCGCCGTATTCAGACCTGGGGGAAGACGAGCCCTTTATGCTCCTTTTCTTTGAGCCCCATTCCTTATTCTGCAATCAAGGAGCAGCAAGGAACAAAGCACGTTATTTAGCCCTTAACCCTCCTCTCCCTCCATCCCCACCCCCCTCCTCTCTCTCTTTCCCCCCCTCTCGCCGTCCAGGACACGGGATCGCTTTCCTGTCCCCCCGCCAACCCCCTGCTCGCCAACAAAAGCACAGCGCCGCAGTGTGGTTTCCGATTTCACCCACAAAATGATAGAAAAATGGGCGGCGCTGGCGGGCCGGCCCGGCCGGGGCGCCCACCGCCCACCAGGATGATGATAAGGGACTCGGTAATCCCGTGTGTTCATCAACAACATTCGATCCCCGTAATGGCCGCCATCATGATGGCCATGATGCTGACGACGGCGATGAGGCGCCGCCCCGATAAATCACCGCCTTTCCCGCCAAAATAACACCCACACTGGCAACATTTTTGTTTTTTTCTCTCCAGAGAAGTCTAAACTGAACAAGGGCGCGGTGCTTCGAAGGACACGGCTTTCGTGACTCTATCTGGGTCGGTTCCGCCGCCGCTCCTCGGCGTACAGCTGCCGCCACAGCAGCTGCTCTTCGCGGAGGTCCCGGACGTCGCGGGCCTCGAGGCCGTGGCGGCGGCAGGGGTCGGCGTCGTCCTCGGAGGAGTCCTCAACGTGCTGCAGGCACAGGCCGTGCGCCGCGCCGCGGTACCAGTCGCCCTGCTCCACGGCGATGCTCCGGCGCGCCGCGTGCACCTCGTCGTCCGCCGTGTCGCAGCACGTGTGCGAGTCGGACAGCGCCAGGTCCACGTCGGACGCCTCCAAGGCCACGTCCCCCGAGCCGCAGCCCAGCATCTGGCGGCCCGGGTGTTGAGCGTGGAAAGCGGAAATCGAAACCCCAGCCGGCGGTCGAACCCGGGACCAACCTGCTTGCAAGCGCGCGAGCAGGCGCTCTGGCCCGGCAGGTCGTCACAGGCCTTGAGCAGCTCGGCGAACTCCTTGTCGCGCTGCCGCAGCGCGCGCAGGCACTGCCGCAGCTTGGGGTCGTAGTCCATGTCCCACATGCGGGCGCGCGCCGCCGCCACGAACCTGTCGATACCCCGCGTCAGCGCCGCGCCCAAACCCACATCGCGGGGTAGCGACACGGACACGTACTTGCGCATGGCCGCCAGGCTGGTCTCGGCGCGCTGCCGCAGGTAGGCCAGGGACAGCCACACCAGCACGGGGGCCGCCACGGTGGCCGCGGCCAGGAGCGCGGCGCCGGCCGGCACCAGAGGGGGCCGCCACTCCCAGGACCACGACGACGGAGGCTCGGGGGGGCTCGAGTCCAGCAGGAAGGCGTCCCACTCGGGGCGCACGGACATGGCAGCGACGGCGTGGACTGCGTCAAGTTCGTCGAGGGCGGCCCGCTGCCATGGCGGGCCGAGGCATTGTTGTGGAGGGCCGAACGGGCCGAACCAGGCCGAACTGGGCGGGGCGGCCACCCCTTCGAACCTCTCAGATCCTCTCGGATTTCAGTTATTTGCAGCACAGCCACTGCGGCTTGCGCTAGCTCTGCGCTCGCTCGGCGCAGCTCTCCGCTAGTTGGAGCAGGTGTGTACAGCCGCTCCGAACTAACTTTGGCCGGCCTGCCTGCAGCGTCTCGTCCCCGTCCGGTCCGCCTGCCGAGCGGGCCTGCCGAGCGCCGACTGACAAAATTTTCTGAAACTCCACCACACCGCGTGAAATTTGATAACAATGGCAAAGTTATTCCGGGGTAAATAATGCGAGTCGCCGAGCCGCCCGGCCTGCCCGCAGTGCGCTCGGCCCCACGGCCCACGGCCGCGAGTTGGACGGACACACAATTCGCTTCCGCCTCCCCACTTTCTGCACGTGGAGCGACGCGGGGCGTGGAGGCAGGCTGGATAAGCCCTTCCCAGCGGCGCCCCCCAAAAAGAAAATAACTAAAAATGGAAAACAAAGAACAAAAACAAAAGTCCGCGCGCAACTTTTTCTTGTTCGATTCCACCTCCACCTCTCGCGGCGCAGTGTTACCTAAGGCTTCTGTTTTTGCAAGGGAGAAAAAAAAATCGGGAACGACGACGACGACGTACTTTGCCAAAGTATGTCATGGGGCGGTGTCACGCGACTTTCCCATGGAGGTCACATGCGGCATTTCGCACACTCACACACGCAACGCACTCTCCCTTTCTCTCTCTCTCTCTCTCTCTCTCTCTCTCTCTCTCTCTCTCTCTCTCTCTCTCTGCTTCGATTCTGACGGGATGACAACCCGACTGCTCGCTCCGCTTTACGGCCGTGTACGTTTTTCCATGACAATAAAGACCGCCGCCCCCGCCCCCCTTTCGCCCATTTTATACTCTCCAGGAAGCGAATAAAATAAAGGACACTGCCTTGCCGCCGTCCGTCCGTCCGTCTGTCTCTCTCTCTGCCGAGCCGTCAGCGCGACCGCCGCGCCGCCCATTTTCCGAACCACTTTTGCGACGAAATTGAATTAAGGACAGCGAGACCCCTCATTGCAGTGAGGCTGGCTGCCTACCGCGCGGCCTGGCCTGGCCGGCCTCCCATTCAGGGCCACTGCAAAAGGAGCAGCGGCCGGGGGACGCAGGCCGGAGGCACCTGGGCTGCTGGACGGACTGCGTGACGCAAATGGAGTAACGCGCGAAAAATATAACAGTGCGGAGCGGCGTGGTTTGGCCTGGACTGTCTGCGGCGCGTCGCCGGCCGGCCTCGGAGGGAGAGAGATGCCGAATGTTCAATTCCAGGGGGCCGGGCACAATGGGAGCCGCAGGACTCGACTCATATCACGAGGCCGCGAGGAACGCCTGGAATGATTGGTCCTGTTCCATTCAGATATGAGTCTCCTCCTGTTGCCATGGCAACCGCGGCGGGGTTGGGTGGGGCGGGGCGGGGGGGCGGGCAGAGCGCCTTAGGGCCGAGCCCTTCCGGCCGGAAGCCGAAACCACACACTGCGGTTTGACGAGGTACATTGTGAGCAGCACGAAATATCGACTCCGGCCACGCTCCCCTCTCTCTCTCTCTCTCTCTCTCTCTCTCCTTCTCTCTCCCCTCTCTCTCCTCCCCCTCTCTCTCCTCCCTCTCCCCTCTCCTCCTCCTCTCCTCCCTCCCCTCCTCTCTCTCCCCTCTCCCAAAACACACGGTCCATACGGCTCCTCATAAACATCCTGCATCCTACACCGCCAAGTAGAGCAAGCAGCGGGTGGCGGCGGTGGCGGGGTGACAGGGAAAGGGTGCATGCAGTCCCCGCAGCACTTAGCAGGCGGTTTCCCCCCCCCTCCCCCCTTTGCCCCGCCGGACGCCGCCAGCACCGCGTCGATCCGTCCAATCTGCTCCGGACTATCCTCTGTGTGCAATATCGCCGGCTGGCTGAGGCTGGCTGGCTGAGGCTGGCGAGGCTGGCTGGACCCGAAGGGGACCGAGGGGTCGAAGGGGGTAGGGCCGTAGTAGCGACAGGCGGGGCGGGCGGGGCGGGGGGGGGGCGTGTACAGCGCGATATCGAGTTATACAGCGTGACGTGGGATTAAGGAGGGGCCGCTGCCGCCGCCGCCATGGAGGGCCGCCCCGCCCCGCCCCGCCCCGCCTGCTTGCCGTCATACGAGCAATCCCTTCCCTTTGAATGGATCCATAAACTGGTGCAGACAATCCCGCTACAAATCTCGCAATCAGTTGCCGAGCAGAAGGGCCTTGCGGGGAATTAGAGAGAGAGAGAGAGGGAGAGGGAGAGAGGCGACCTGGGGGGCGACCTGGGGTCGACGCCGCAAGCCTCGAGCAGCTCGCCGTCGACGGGCCGGTGGCAGGCGAGGTCGAGGGCGAGGCAGGACGACGCGGTTGGAGAGGTTCCCAAGTTCCCACACCGCGCTGCTTCGCTGCGGTGCACGTGGAGGCGGGGCAAAAAAGGGAAAAAGGGGGGCGCAAACGTGAGGAGGGTAGGGGGCGTGGGCCCCGGGCGGCCCAAACCCCCTTTTCCCGGGAGACCAGGGCGCGCCGTCAGCGGCAAGGGGCATCCCAAAATTCCCATGAGGGTTGCCGGACCGGTGGACCACTCTTAAAACCGTTCCCGCCTCCGCTTCCTCCCCAGCGCCGTGTGCGAGGCGGTACGCAAATTTGCACGTGTCGTGCGGGGCTGACCCCGAGCGGGGCCTCGTGGCTGAGATGACGCCCCGGGCGGGGCGGGGCGGGGCGGGGCGGGGGGCGGGGCGGGGCGGGGCGGGGCCCGCACGCCTTTGTCGAGTCCGCCGCGCCCGGAACGCCGCAGCCCGCAGCGCTTCACCGCCCCGCCCGCAGGGCCGCAGGGCCGCAGGCAGATTGCGGGGCGATAGGGGTGGCCCTGGCGGCCTGGAGGTCCTGGAGGCCCTGGAGGCCCCCGGGGTGCCCGGCACCGGACACAAAGGACTGCGTCACACTCTTGCAGCAGCGCGCCAGCAGCGTCCTGGCGGCGTCCTGGCGGCGTCGCTCCGCGCGCTGAACAAGACCTGCTGTCCCTTCGGCAAGCCCTTCAGCAAGCCCTGAGCAAGCTTCAGGCGAGCCTCGGGCGCTCCTGTAAAGCGCCATTTCCAGCAACACATTATTCATCTCGCAGCCGTCGCTTGCCAGGCCTCCGGGCTTGCCAGGCTTGCCACCAGCCCTGCCTCGGCGGCCCTGCCCCTGCCCCGCCCGGCCCGAACAAGATGTCAGGCGTCTGACGGTGCGTCGTGTTTGACGAGAAAATCCCATCCCGTTACGACAACAAGCAAACAGGGGAAACATGATGTGGAATAAATTTGGCTCAAAAGAATCGAACCTTCATTACAGTGGGGGCGCGGCGCGGCGCCAGACAGGCATAGATGGATTGAAGTTTGCGAGGAGGGGGGCTGCGGATAGAAGATAGAAAGGGCCGAGTGACACAGCGTGGCGGGTGCCGGTGCCGCGCGACCCTACCGCACACATTCAGCGAGTTCCAGAAAGTCACTTGCCCGCCGAGACCGCGCCGCGGCCACGCCGCGACGCCCAGGGAGGGGTGAGGGGAGCGGCCGTTAAGGGATGGCGACGAAATAGGACTACGAAAGCGGGAGGCGGGAGAGGGGCAGTTAAAATATATTGGAATAAGAACCAATATATTTCACAGCTTAAGAATACGAACGGACGACACGCGTTGAGGCGAGATTTACGGCGTGGAAAGCCTTATTGAAAGCGTGCCGATGTGCCGAGTAAGATCTCATATGACTGCCGCGGGCCGCGGGGGGAGGGGACAGGCAGGGAAAAAACAAAAGTGTATTAAGTTCACTTGCAGCGCGGGGGAGGAGGCTGCGGCTGTGCTGCCGCGGCGAAGGTGGCGGTATAACCTGAACTACGGCCCGCCGAGGGGGGGCGTACATAAATTGGCACCGTTTCCATTGTGCTACACACACACACACACACGCACAGCGCGTACGGTCGGATCAGATAAAAAGGGTTGCAAGAAGCGCCGCCGTTCCGCGCGTCCAATAACACGCCACGCTCCTTTCGCTTCCTTCCGCGATGAGCGTTGCGGGGGCGGCGAGCGTTGCTGAGCGTTGCTGAGCGTGGCGGCTGTAGTGGTGCGATGTGCGGCAAGGCGCGGCAAGGCGTCGAGCAAAATGAGGCAGTAGAGCGACTTGTTTAGCACCGGCGCGGCGCCACGCGGCGCCTGGCCCGGCCTGCTCCTCCCCCGTGCCTCCGCCACGCCAGGGCCGGCCGGGACATTACTCCGGGACATTCTCCAGCACTGTAATCTAATCACACCAAAGAAAATGGCAGTGGAAAGGGGGCGGGGGGAGGATGTATTGGAGGTGGCAGCCTGTTTTGGCTGCGGAAAGTGGAGCTTCTGCCACGCACACCACCGCGAGAAAAAAAGGTTAGCGAAGCTCGAAAAGCAGGCGATACGTTTTACGTTTTTGGAGCGACTTTTGGCGGCCGCCGTTCGCACGGTGCTGCTTGGGAACTTTCGCCGACTACCCCTCTTCCCCGGGCAAGCCCCGGGCACCTCAGCGCCAATGACACTTTGCATAAACGACGCGACGACCCCCGCAAGGGCAAGCCCGGGCAAGCCCTGGCAAGGCGGCCGCCCTGCCCTGCCCGCCTCGTCGAAGCGCGTGACGCACCTCGTCCAGTGTGTCCGGCGCATGCCCGTCCACTGCAGCGCAGCACTCCGAGCACCTGCAGGACCGCCCTCGCGCCCTCGGGACTTTCATGCGGAGTTTCGACAACACAAGCAGTGTGGCGGCGGTGGCGTCACGGTAAGGCGCCAGGCCGCCAGCGCGCCAGTCTGCTGCAGCGCTCCCCTTTCTGTTTCGGGGGCCCTTCCTGGTAGGTATCAATAAAGCTTGTCGGATAGTGCGCTCGCACTCAC